TTATTAAATTTAGAATTGTTGAAAAAGGATAAAAAAGTAGCAATTTAAGCAGAAAACGTAAAACCTCGATAGAAGATGTTCTGTGGCTGGTGTGACTGTTCTTGTTAACAATTCTAAATTGCCATTACTTATGTTTCGCCATTACTTATGTTTCGCTTCTCGGCCGATACAGCTGGAAAGTATTGTGGCATTTCGACTGCTGACTCGCTGCCCATCTAAATCTGTTCAGTGATTATCACCTGTTGGAATTTGCTAGTTTGGAGTTAATCATACAGAGATTTCCCACATCACAGGATTTTGTGCACAGTTTAGGCGGGGAAAGTGTACTGCCCACTGTAAGCAACAAAAACAAAATTCGATGGCCAGCAGTGATTCAGATTGCCGTTCTGTTAAAAATATACTGTGGAGCCAAGTTGATGCATGCCCTGCCAGTAAGTATAGCTTTTGCTTTTTCAGAGTGGTCCGGCACTCCGTTACGAGAGTTTGCGTGTGACACTTCGGATGATTTATCCGGCCGAAGTAAGTATCTTGAAAAGCATATTGGCGACGTTGCCGCTGGCCGGACCTATTGCTAGTGCGCTGGCGTGCCCACGTGGCAAAGATCTCTGTGTTGTGGCATCGGCATTGCAATTAACCCATATACTTCTGAATAAATTCCCTGATATATACATCTCACTGTTCAGGCGTGAAGGTTCGTGTTCCTCTTCGTCTTGCTGTTTTATGTTTTCTTAAGGCGGCATGCTTCGTAAATCGTTTATTGGATTTTAGATGGCTTTTTTATGCAGTTTATTGGATTTTAGATGGCTTTTTTCTGTTCTCTCAAAACCAGTGAAGAGCCTACTTTTGCAGAACACGGACTACTTTCCGCAAATCGCCAGCGTTTTCGCCTAACTGACTGGAACTCCTATAAAATGGCAAAAAATAACGGGAAGCGATCCGTATTTCCCCAGATAACTCTGTAGAATTTTCAGGTGTTGCACACGAAATTGAAAAATTATCACGAATGAAACTGGAATCGCCGGTCTCACTTCCGCCTGTGCAGTCTTCACCAGCTGTGCTTTCTGCCGAACAGGACGTGGCAGCAAGTTCAAGCCGTACACGTGGCAGTCCAAAAACCCGTACTACATCCGAACAAGGTGCTGCAGCGACAGCTGCAGCTCCATCTATTAGTAAATTTTTTTTTACTTTTGTATCGCACGACTCTCATCAGGTCTTCCACGAAATCTCGCGAATTCTTCTAAGAATTATTCTGGAGTGCGATAGAATGTTCGTAGTTCGAGATCGGTTCTCATCGTATATGTCAAATCGTTCAGTCGTTTAGCCCCATTCCTCTGCGCCTTATTTTGCTGGAATTGTCTCATTTGAGTTAAATTTAGTCGCAGCTTCAGCCGTGAGTTTAGAGCGGTTGACACGGCCTGGTGTCTTCAAAATGAATTGTCGGAAGGAATCGAATTTGAGCGATGAATCCACCGAAAAAAGATGAAAAAAAGCATTTTTTCCAGTTAAGGTGTCAGTTTTTGAAAATAAGCATCAGATTTTTGCTCCCCTTCTTCCCTCAATGTCGTCTGAGAAAAAAGAGAAAACATGGAGAGAAATTTTTCAGCAAAGCAGAGTGCAGTAATAGCTGCGAGGAGTCGTAACAATACACAAGCAGCTCCTGCTGGTTCGTCTTCGTCATCTTCATCGTCGTCCGAAGCTGGGCCCAGCTCAAGCAGTGCTACCAGGGTAATTGTTTCGCCAAGTGGAGGTCGCCATCGTCGTAAGGCATCACCAGAGAGGTTGGTGTTTTTCCCTTTTTCCAGTTTTATTTAGTGCTGCGAATACTTCTGATGCATGGAATTCTCGGAACTTTTGTAGGTGGAGAGTTGCTGTAGGAAATGTGAGTATCAGTGTTATGTGCTGCCTTGGGAGTAGAGTTGGAAGCCGAACCTGCTTTTTACTCTTTTTTTTAAAATAACGACATTCGGAGCGAGACTGAATAGTAGCAACGAATGCTTCAGAAGAATAAAGCTGGCTGATATAAATAAAAAGCAACAAACAGAGAATTCTCGAGGCAATTAATCTGTAAAGCATTAACGTCTGATTGATGATACATTGTAGTTTAAGGAGTAAAATTTTGTACCCACCCCCTGCTGCTAGAAAAGGAATTCGTTACCTGTGCAGTCATTGAAGGGACGGTATATTTAGTAAAGGTGATAGGCAGCAACTGGAGACAGATGATTAGAGTCGGCATTGCTTTGTTAATTGGCTGATATATAAAAAGCAATAAACTGAGAATGCTGGAGGCAATTAATCTGTAAAACATTACGTCGGTGATACCAGAGAGCGTGGGAAAATGCGTGTGCAGGGTATCATTATCCTAAAATTTCAGCTTCCTCTAGCACTTCTGGCTTCCAAGATAATGGTTTTTCTTGGCAAAATTTCGACGGGGACGTTGGAAATTTGCGGAGTTGCACACAAGCAGGTGATACCAGCCAAGCAAAGAAACAGCGTCCGTAATAATAGTAACATTAGGGGCGCTGTTTCGTTGCTTGGCTTTTGAAAACGTCCGAGGGCAAGCCAATTTAGTAGCGCCGAGTTCTGCGTTAAATTAAATGTGAAATAAGCTACAGTGCAGGCTGGAGGCTTTTGTATGCGAGCGTTATTTTGCGAAAATTTGGGGCGTCGAAAACTCTAGTTGCTAGCAGTGCAGGAGAGCCAGAAATGCAAAAAATAAATAGCAGCGTGCACAAGAATAGCCGGTGTGATCATGCGTTTTGAGCAAATTCGTCCACCGAGCAATTGCCTGCTAATGATTTTCACTGCTTCATACTTTAGTTTGTGCAAAAATAGTTAAAACAATGAAAAAATAGGTACAGATTTCACGGACCGGCAAGTAAAAGTCGAATTTGAAACCTCGAAGGGTGAATACCCTTCCAAATTTCAAACTCTTAATTTTTTGGCT